GTTAGGTGAAAATAACCTAAAAGTTGAGTTGTTAAACCAACCCACATGTCTTAATACAAAACTGAAGCTCAAAATTTGTATACAAATACTTCTTTTAAAAGCAAATCAAGGAAATAACCGGTTCGATTCGGTTCGGTTTACCCGACATTTGTCCGGTCTAATTGACCAAAGCAAAAAAGTCATTATATGCCAAATAGTTTTTTTCTCATTAAAAGTCACCGCCGCAATGAGCCTCCAACCGGAGAAGAAGAAGACGGAGAATTCGTCACCACCACCATCGCCGTCGCAGTCGTGATCTTCACTTCCGGACGAAATCTTCTTGAATTGCTTAGCACGGATCTCGAGACACTCTCAATCGTTTCCGAAACCTATGTCTACAACTACAATGGGAAAATGGAGGGTTTAGAGGATTAGAGGATGATCAAGCATGGGCTGAGTAAAGACTCAGACTTGGGAACCACTTCCGGATCCAAGGTACGTAAGCGTGTCACTTTCAGAATCATGGAGGTCGATGGGAAAGATTATGTTTGGGAATTATAGCAAAATGTATGGTTATGACAGAAAGAAAGGTAAATGGGAATGTTGTGAAAACGAGAGTGCCAAGTTTCCGAGGTCACACTGTGTGATTGAGAATGTATATGATACCTTTGGTCAACCCATGTGTGAGTGGTATGACATAAAGAATGAAGATTGGAAAGAGGTTAAAGGGTTAGACTCACTAGGAGATAAGTTCAGGACGAATGCTGGCTCGGAGTACTAGTAATAGAAAACTAGTTAGCTGTGGTGGGAGACTCTTACTTATTTGGGAAGGATATAAAAGGCTTAAGCCCAATGATATGAAGAAGATTTGGTGCGCGGAAATCGTGTTGGAAAAACGCGATGGAGGTGAGGTTTGGGGAAATGTGGAGTGGGTTGATGCTGTGCATACATTCCCCACATCATGTTATCTCTTGGGTTGTCTAGCTGTCTCCGTTTGATTGACTTGTATCCAAGGTAATATCAATTGTTTCGAATTCAACATCAGTTTGTAGGATCTCTTTTAAAAGCATAGATAGTGTAGTATTTCATATACATATAGGGAAAAGGTCGTTTTAATCCCGACTTTGGCTAAATAGATCCATGTTTGGTCAATGTCCCAAGTTATGTTTTATCTTCTTAATATGCACCGCATATAGCGGTTCTCGGATTATCTAGAGCCCGAGCTCCACGATCCCGCAATTAGAATAATACATAGGTCCATTTTGGTTAGGTCAATGGAAGGTTTGAGTTTATTTTGTTTAATGAATAAGTTCATGATTCTTTTATGCGATTTGCCAAATTTGGGGTTTTGAAAGTTTTTTTTTCCTTAATACATAATCATGTATGTTAGTATGTTAGTATTGTAGACCAGTTGGAGAAAAGATAATGAAGCAAAGGCTTTTGGAACAACAAGAGTTAAGGAGAGTAATTAGTTAAGTTAATAGTCACTTTTGTGACCATGAAACTTCACTTGATCAAATTAGCTAGTGGGAAAATAAATGTCTTTGGATATGTTGATCTAATCCCTTGTTGATTACGAATATGATTCCTTATTTTGTATTATCATTCTGGTTATTGAGTCTTTCTTTTCTAAGAAGTAGAAATATCATGGAAAGCAAAAATCCATAGGTAGGATTTCTGTTTTTTTTAAGATTTTTGTTCACTGTATGAAGCATTAGATAGATGCCAGGATATTATTACAAATCATCGGTACAACGCTTATAAAATTCGACAAAGCAACTGATTTGAGTTCCTACATTCATTGACATTGAGGAAAAGAAGCAGAACAATTTACGTCAGATGCAGGTTTATGCGGTCCATTTCAAATGCCACCAGAAACTCTTAAGGGAATATTCAAATCTGTTTGACTACACGGCAGACGTCTTCCAAATCCCCGGTATGAGTAGCTTCTCTGCAAATCTAATCTCAAGTGAACATTGTTATTGAATTCTCAAATTTTCATATAAAATTACCCGGTGACCATGAATCATTATTACGAAAGCATCATTCGATTAACTCTTTTGGGATCATATCTCCAGAACCAAATATCGATTACTCTCTGCCTCATGACCAACACAGAGCTCTTGAGGATCTTTCACACTTGAGTTGAGTGGTGTCTTTAAAACCATCTTCATCACTAAATCATAAGTTGTATCTTTTTTAACATTGTACGTTATGTTGAGTTCTATGTTTTGAGAAGGAAAACAAAAAAAAGTAAAGCTATATTTAAATATGTTACAATTTTCAATCTCCATGGTTGAAACAAATTTTGTTTGAACATCGAAACTTCAAAACTAATGTGAGAATTTTCCAATCTTGCTTGGCATCAAGGATGATGATCTTTGCCAATTTTCAAAACTAATTGTAACATTGTAAGTGATGTTACAATTATCATAATTTTTTTTTTTCCAACTCCAAATTCGTGTGACTCAAGTCTCAGATCTTCGTCTTTGGAATCAATTTGTTTTACTGATAGTTTCTTTACCGCCAATAAATCAAATGTCCCTAAGTGGATTTTCCGGCTGCCAGTTTAAGGAGTCGTCGGAGGAGGGGATTCTACGATCGAAAACAAACGTAGAGAACAAATTGGAAGAGACTAGAGAGTCACAACGTCAGTTAAACCACCCTCAACACAAATGTATTTAACAATTTTTTACAAGTTTGTGTGTTTCCCTTATACAACAAAGCCATCACTGTGACGTAGCGCATTAAGCCAGGCCCTGAGAGCATTAACATAATACATGTGTATGGGCCTCAGATTTTTTAGGGCCC